AATTCCTTCTTATAATTTAAGCTTCTTTCTGCTTTTTTAGCTACTTTTCAGCTTTTTTTAAGATAATTTCCTCTTTTTTATTGCTCATTTCTGCTTCTTTCACCAAACATGTTTTTTTCTGCTTTCTTTTGCTAATTGTTTGACCTTTTCAACTACTTTTTAAATATTTATTAGCTAATTTCAGCTGTTTTCAGATAAATTCAAGGTTTTTTGTGGTAATTTCTGCTATTTTCAGCCTAATTAACTTCTTTCTTCTAATTTCAGCTTGTTGGGCTCCTTTCAGCTTTTTTCTGCTAGTTTCAACTTTTTCTGCTATTTCAGCTACTATTTAGCTGTTTTCGTGCTAAATTTAGCTTTTTCAGCTAATTCCACATTTTTTAGTTCATTTCAGCTCCTTCCACTTCCTTGTGGTGGTTTGTTTCTTTCAGCCTTTTTTTCCTTCCATTTTCAGCGTTTTTTTTTTTTAGCTTAATTGCTTATTTTTGTGCTCATTTCTGCTTATTTAAACGTAATTCAGCAAATTTGTGTTCTTTCTTCTTCTAACTTGGCTTTTCTTCTATTTCAGCTACGTCAGCATGTTTTAAGCCAATTTCAGCTGTTTGTCAGCAAGTTCTTCTGAAATAAGCATTCACACTGCATTTTCGCAGGAAATGCAACTTCTCAAGTTATTGTTGGGTCTTTGGGTTTCCCCTCACCAATGGCCACAATGAGTAAAGTTACTTTTTCTTTTTAGATGGGAGAATTTGTCTAAAATCAAACCCAAAAGCTGGATTTACTCTACACATTTTAGACATTGTTGTTACAAACGTCAACCTGACGCAGCTGTTTAAAAAGGGACTACATTTACATGATCATCCCTTTATTTTAAAACAACCAATTTAATATATATATATATATATATATATATATATATATATATACAGCTCATTTAAAAGCACAGCTTCTCAGGATTCTGTGGCCGTTTCTCTTTCTGCGGGCGTGCCTGCAGTTAAGAGGATTAGATGTGGTTGTGTAAATATTACTGAAGACTTTTTCCACTCTTGAACCTCCGGTGCACAGCAAAAATAAAAGTTAACACAAATCATGGTTTGACTTCAAATGGAAGTGTTTGATATTCATAAAAAAAAACATTGAATGCATTTCACTCCAATTCTCAAGTTTGAGACTAAAATCATTTTGTCAAGAAATGAGTAGTCGTTCAGATCAAACCCTGAAAATATGCATGATCACAACTTTAGCTCATCAGTGAAACTGACAGAACTGTAGATATTTTTGTGTTGTTTTCAGGTAAGTTGGTCAACCGTCAGGTTGACTCTAAAGTTCATCAGTTGATGAACATCCAGTGATTACTTCAAGTTTCATTAAATTTATCTACCACTTCATGAGATATCCTGCAGCTGAGACCCAATTCCATTATATTAAAGCTGTTTGTTTGTAATTCTCATTAGCAGGGATTAATGTGAGTATAATAATTATTTATCACAGTTCTGGTTCAGATTGCGTTTATACTGCTCCATAAAGTAATGTACAGGAACTATTTGTGTGTGTGTGGGACTATTTAATTATTATATAGAAACCTACTACTGAACACCATCAACGAAGGCTTTTGTGTTGTGAAGTAAAAAGTTAACTGGATCAAACTATTTGCACCTTGCAATAACAAACGGCAACACTCACCAACTGTAATGGTTTTTAGCTGGTCAGAAGCTTTTTGCAGCAGCTGCAGATTGTTCTCACCGATTTCTCTCCAAGGTCCATCTCCTCTGTGAGGACAGTTTTCAGCTCTGAAGTGGCTTTCAGTGTCTCTCCTCACTCCTAGTGTATTTAAACAGAATTAATCTTTTAAAACGTTCAGCTCGTTCAGGGCAATCCTGCTATGACTTTTGGTAATGAAGCAACTTTAGCTTTTGGAAATATTTAGCCTTTTCTGCCATTTTTTCCTCACAGAACATGAATTGAGTTCATGTTACATCTTTCAAATCTTTAGATCTGTTTACAAAGTTTTACTGCTCCTTTCACATTTTGTTCTGGTTCAGCTACTTTCAGCTTCCTTGTGCAAATTTAAGCTTTTTTCGGCTACTTTTATCTGGGTTTTTTTTTTCAGCCGTTTTGTACTCCTTTTAGATTCTTTCTCCTAACTACAACTTTTTTGTGCTTCTTCTAACTTCTTTCTGCTAATTTCAGCTTGTTATGCACCTTTCAGCTTATTTCTGCAAGTTTCATATTTTTCATCTATTTTGGCTACTATTTAGCTGTTATTATGCTAATTTCAGCTTTTCTGGCCAATTCCACATTTTTTGGCACTCATTTAATCTTTTTTCTGCCTAATTCAGTAAAATTAAACTCTCCACTTTCTTCTGGTAATTTAAGATTCTTTTAGAAAATTTTAGCTACTTTAGCCATTTTCTTTGTTAATTTCAGCTTTTATCAAACAATATCCACTTTTTAGTGCTCTTTTCTGTTTCTTTCAGTCTAAATGGGTAAATATGTTTTTCTGCTTTCTTCTGCTAATTTAAGCTTGATCTACATTTTCAGCTAATTTCAGCTGTTTTCAGATAAATTCTAGTTATTTTTGGTCATTTCTGCAACTTTCTGCCTAAATAACTCATTTCTGCCTATTTCAGTCCCTTTCAGCTTTTTTCTGCTAGTTTCAGCTTTTTCAGCTACTTTTTTTAGCCGTTTTGTGCTACATTTAAGCTTTTTCAACTAATTCCACTTTTTTTAAATCTCATTTCAGCTCCTTCCTCCTGGCAATATAAGCTTCTTTCTGCCTTTTCAGCTACTTTTCAGCAATTTTCTTTTTCCAATTTCAGCGTTTTTAGCTTAATTTCATATTTTATGTGCTCATTTCCGCTTATTTAAATCTAATTTAGAGAATATGTGCTCTTTCTGCTTTCTTCTGCCAACTTAGGCTTGTTCGTCAATTTCAGCTACGTATCAGCATGTTTTTAGCTACTGTAATTTCAGCTGTTTTTCTGCAAGTTCTTCTACAATAAGCATTCACACTGCGTTTTCACAGAAAATGCAAGTTCTCTAGTTATACTTACAGAAGTCTCGCTGCTATGTCACATTTCAGTAACTGAAGGTTTTATTCATTAAGATAAATTTAACTCCGTAAACTAATTTAATATTTAAGAAATGTGTGACTTAAAACAAACTGACAGTATAAAATATCTCTGCAGAATGAACTCACAATTAGTTAAAAAAAAACTTTAAGTTTGTTTCTAAAATACATCTAATTATTTGCAATCAGTTTCAAACTGATGTTTTCTAGGAACACGTTTGCATTTATAAAAACAAAATTAAGATAGAAAAGTGGTTGTTAGCGTTGTTTTTAATAATACAGTAATAAGAACATTCTTTTTTTACTGTGACTTGTGCGGCGATACATTAACATAGAAAACAGCAACATTCAGGACAATTCATACTCCTCCATTAAAGAAGCAGCAGTCAGAAATTAACCTGTAAATAACAGTTTCTGTGTAAACAATGTGAGTGTAAGTGAAATGAATTCATGTGTTCACATTCAAGTGTTTGTCCCACTTTGTGGCTCATTTTACTTCCTGATCTACAAGAAGCAGGAAGTTAGAAAGAGTCACCTGTTGGATGCTGACTACAGGAAAAAATGCTACACAATCTGAAATTAAAGCAGCTTTTTGCAGGTGTTGCTGTCCCCATACGCTCTCAGACCTGTGACACAGGCTGTGCAGATCTTAAAGGGATAGTTCAGATCTTTTCAAGTGGGGGCTCTGAAGATAGGTTATGAATAAATATTATCTTAGCTGTTGCAGATGGGTCATTGATCTGTTTGGAGGAATAAGTCAACCATTTCTCCAACCTGAGGTCGAGCCCCACGTCAAAAGACTGAAACTACCACAATACAGTTTATGAATACAACAGCGACAGTGTTGTCGCTCCACCTTCTGTAAGAAACTAGAGCAATCACGGGGGCTTCAGAGGACCAGGTGGATGGAGAGGTTCAAGAGTTCACTGCGTCTATGTGACGTGAAAAGAAGCAAAAGCATACATTCATGTGGACTCATCAGCTCTGAGTGCATTGTCGTTCATTAAGTGTAAAAAGAGTGCAAAAACAAAACGGTGCCGGCGACGGCTGAGAGTGAAACTTCAAGTAGAACAGAAGAAGACTGATTTCAGGATGAAAACAGAACCAGAGCTCTCTTTGGCAACACTGGTGTCACATCCAACCAACACACGGACATTTGATAGTTTATGATGCTAATGTGTAAATGTTTAACACTCTTGTTGCCCAAAAAGTGATTTTTGATGTTTCCATGACAACATATGGAGGGGGTGGGGGGTGACATTCTGCACTCTGGTTCAGGCTGAAGGGTTTGTTTTGACAACAAATACATGAATCTTTATGCAAAGAATTGCTCATGCAAGGATAATATTGCTAAATATTTCTAACTGCTGATATGAATGCAAACGTCCACTTGTTAAAAACAATAAATGAAATAAAACAGAAAAAGATCAATCATCCCTTCTTAGATAACACCAAAGATTGAGATTTCATGTCGAAAACGTCCAGCTCGGATGGAATTTGATGTTCGCACGATTCTTCCTCTGCGAGAACGCAGCAACGCTTTGAAACGTTCAAGTTTTCACGTTTCCAGTTTGTTTCTGACCCTTCAATAGAGTCTGAAAGGCCCGAGGTCGCCCTGATGTGACCCACCGCCGGCAGAGCCAGCAGCAGACTTGAACCTGAAGGAGCTCCGGACCAACACGGCGGCTGGTGATTCGTCTGTTTTACTCTGAGAAGAAAGCAGCCTCTCGGCTCCTGTTCCGTCCGACAGCAAGCCGATTCATGTCATTCTGAAACAACGTTCTGATAAGGCAGTGTTCAACATTGCACCATGGAAATGTCCTGTGACAAAAAAATAAATAAATCAGTAATATGGTAAAAAATAGGAGTGAAGAAAGTGGGAATAAGGAGGAGTGGAGAATCAGAAACCCCAACATTTCTCTGAAAAGTATCCACCTCACGACTGCTTCCTGAATGTGAAAATGTCTCGTTTTTTGGAGCCCCTCTTGCTGACGGGTGGAGGCGTGGGGGTGTGGTTGGGCGAGGACGACGGGGAGGGCGAGGAGTTCTGAGGAGTGGCGGTGCCTCCATAGGGGCAGCTCTGCGAGTCTGGGTGTTCGCCTGAACACTCCACGGTGGGGATGTAGCGGCTGTCCCACATCCCCGGGCCGCACAGTTTACAAAGGTCATGTAGGCTGCACGGGATCCTGGGAAGGAGGCGGAACTGGTACAGAAGGCTGCGGGCCTACAGGAACACAGTGAACCAAAACAACAGGGAGAGGCTTCAGTAAATACAAACAGAGCACACTGGAGCTTTTAGAAGAAGTCAGCAGCTCTGGCTCTTAGCTAAAAGCTAACCGTCAAGGTCAGAGTCCCGTGGATTTCAGAGCCTGAATGTTTGCTCTGAGATAACGGACGCAACAACAAAAAGGTGCATGCTAACGGAGAGGCGCTGCCTGTGACTGCAGCGGCACAAACACAACATAAATAAAGATGAGAGAGTGGGCGCTACGGCAGAGATGAAGATCATTAATCCTCTGCACGGTCTGACAGCAGCTCAAGGCCTCTGAGGGTGGTTTACAGCAGGACCTTGATCCAAGGTTTGGACTAAATCAATAGAAACACAGCTGGAGTCTAAGAAACTCTGAAAATAAGGGTTTAGCTTGCAGAGCTGCAGATGCTGGAGGCTCAGGATAAAGACAATGCCTCTGCAACAGTACCTTGCGGAGCACCAGCTCCCCGTTCATGTGCATGGAGAGGTTGCTGAAGTGCAGCAGCATCTGGTCGGTGGCGAGCTGCTGCTCCATCACGTCCTCTCCGTACAGAACAATGATGGACACACACAGGAACAGGTGGAAGTAGTCCGTCTGCAAAAACACAAAGTGGGGGAGATTAAAATAACTCAAAATGACTGAATAAACTGCTGCAACTTAATTTATAGAAAACATTTAAAACAAACAATAAACAATAAAATAAACAATAAAACCATTAAACAATTAATTACCAAATTATTCCAATTAAATAAAAAAGCATATATACATCTATCTAAAGTTCATTTTACTGATGTGCATCTACGACTGAAAGTAAAGTGTAAATATTAAGATTTACAACAACTTGGGAACATTTTAATTTGGTGTTGAACACGACTTATTTATGTAAAACTAAAAGTGTTTATACATATTTCATATAAAGCACATAATAACTCATACATTTGCAGAAAATATAAAAACTGCTTGAAGGTAGAATCTTTCTGGGCTGGTTGGTGACTGCAAGTTGCAATAAAAAAGGTACAGTTTCTGTAGCCTCCCTGAATTCTGAGTGTTCGTGACCAGTGAGCCGTGCGGCCACATTATGAGCAGCAAATATTCAAAAATCACACTATTTTGCTCCCAGAACTATGTTTTTGACTGTGCATATTATTGTTTAACCCATCTCCACTCACTTTAATCTACTGGAGAACACTTTTGGGATAGATTTGGACTAGTTTTTTTTTAATTAATAGTCATTTGTAGACCCGGATTTTAGGACTGTAGCTTTGGACATTTTCTGTCTTTAGAAAGTTGTCCTGCAGGTGTTAAAACAAGTGATGTTAACAAAAATCTAACCGAGAAGAGTTTGTGAGGCCAGCAACAACTACGATTAATTTGAGAGAAAAACTTGCAGATTTTTTTTTACCATTTTGAAAACTCAAGAGACAAATCCGTGAGCCCCACTAACGTTTTCAGACATTTTGGGGACTCCCTCGTTAGTTGCAGATACTACCTTCAATGACGTAAAGAAATCTGGGGCATGATTAGGCCTGTTGCAATAAACAATAAATCTATTAATCACACAATAAATAAAAATGATCAACCTCATTTCCATTTATCTGCTTTATTGTTTCTTCGTGTCTCTCTCTTTCTACTGAAGACACTGGATGACAAAAAACTCAACTCCAGTGCTCTTCACTGACCCCTCCCTTTCTCTTACCTTTAAAATCCATTTTTACCATCCAAAATCATGTTTTTGGAAGGTTAAAAGCAGCTACGCTGAGAAGCTAAGCTATGAGCTAAGCTAACAGGCCAAACTTGGGGGGGACGACTTCAGTCTTTTCGAAGCTCCAAAATTCACGGTTGAAACCCGTGCCTTCGTGTAAAAAGTTGTTTTTCTCTGCAAAAAGAAGCTGAGAACGTGTTTACTGATTTTTTTATTAAAAGCTTTGTGTGACAAATGACATGAATTTGACAAGAATGACTAATTATTGTCAAATTTCAAACAATATTATCGTTTATCGCAATAATTTCTGAGACGATTAATCGCCCGGAAAAATTTGTTATCGTGACAGGCCTAGGCATGACAATTATTACAGTTACATGAAACACATGAATACAAAGGACAAAAACAGGATTCAAACATTCCAGACTTAAAGATTTTACAAAAAAAAAAAGCTTAATTGCTTAAATGAAGCTGGCTCCCCAGTGTCGGCCTTGAATTGGCCAACTATCCCAAACTCTTCTGGATGTTATGTGAACAAGAAGCTCTGCTCCCCCCTCTCCTACCCGCTCCCTTCCCGAGGACATCTGTAGACCTGTGCCAGAGCTGAGCTGTCTGATAGACACTGCACCATCTTATCAGGACTATGGAACTACCTGGCAGTGTTTACGGACAAACTCACCGCCGTCGTCGGCCTTCCTCATGCATATATTATGATGTCATCAGTATGTTGCTATTTCTGTGCTGGGGCTTTTATTGTAACTCTCACACTGTGTCCCATCTAGAACACAGTGTGAGATAAGATTTTTTTTATACCTCCTCTTCCCCTGTGTTTTTGTTTTTTAATCTAAATGAAAAGGGCAGCGCCTCCCATGAGGTCGCAGCCTCAGACACTTCCGTCTCCCCATATCTGATTGCTTGTATTTTACTTAGACGGGCTGTACTGTAATGTAATTTCATTGAGCTTTGGTGAAATGACAAAGGTGACTCTGACTAAAGCTCCTCTAATGTCCTCTGTGGAGACACCTGTCCAATACAACATATATTAGGATAGTGCGCTTAGATTTAAAACATTATTATAACTTATTGTTCAACTCAACTCTATAATTCTTCAAGCCCCGTTTAAGCGCCGTGTACGGCTCATTTTCTACTTATAAGCTCTTTTAAAGATTTCTAAGAACGCACCAACATTGTTATTCACAACCATCACCTTCTGACACCCCGTGTGTCAGTTAAACAGTCCATACGAGGAGATCAGAGAGCACCTCTTCTTCAAAGACAAATCTTGATACTAATCAGTCATTTTTGTTTATAGCGTATGTGCTTCATGTAACAGTTGAAACCAAGGCTTCACACAGACACAAACTCTATCTCCTCCATCTGCACCTGCAGCTGAAGATCTGAACATCCAGCAGATGGCAAGAAGACAAGACATCGACGTTTGAGCCTCAGAGAGAAGACATGTTCAACTACTGATGGTAGTTTGAGGAACTAAATGCAGTTAAAAGTTTACTGGACCTTGATTAAAACAAGACTATATATTAATTCAAACTTAAAACAAATAAATCTCTTCAAAACCTAAGAAGTTTATTTATAGCTGCTTAGGATAACAAAAGTCTGCTGTCAGAAAAGAATCGGCACAATCCTGGAACTGTATTAAAACAGGATCCTCCTCTTGCACCACAGCATGCAAAGCTCTTCTTTGGAACTTGTATATGCAACAGGAGCAGTTTGGACTTTGTCCTGACCTGGTAGTGTGCCCAGCAGGCCTCCCACATGCGCAGGGCCTCCGTGTCAGGGAACTCCCTCTTGAAGCACAGCAGAACCCAGCGGTGGCAGAAGAGCAGCTGGAGCCCGTCCTCCCCGAGCCGGGTCAGGTGCTGGTGGAAGCGTGGCAGCATGAGTCGCAGCAGCTCCCGCAGGTACATCTGCAGGAGGAGAAATTATTTTCTTGTGCTCTGCAGCGTGGTGGTTCGAGTCGGACAGATACGCTTTACATTTTGCAGGATGGGTTATAATGTCTGAGCCGTTTGCCCTTCACTCGTTTTATTTTTTTCCATTATTTGTACATGTAAAGAGATGACCAAATATGAAGCTGGAATTTTTACATAAAATAATCAAATATTTAAAAAAAAATTGTTTTTGAGTTGTAGTAATCAAGAAAAAAAAAAAAAGTAATTTCTTCCTTCACTTAGTGACATCATGTAGAGATCTAATCCTGAACGTGTTGCCATCAACTGACCGGTCAGAGCTAAACATCTGCGAGGGAACGTTTCAGACCAGTGTTGCCAGATATATGATAATTGTAGCATTTACACGATTGTTTTAGGGACTGTAAGATATACGCTAAACAGCTTTTAAAAAGCTCACATATATGACAGTTTAGACATTTCATTTCAACAAAAAAACAAAAACAACTGTTTTATTCACGTGGACACCCATTGTCAAAATCTTACTTCTAACCTACAAAGCTCTCAACAACCTAGGTCCATCCTATATTAGAGATCTTATTGTTCTATATTTTCCTAACGGAGCACTTCACTCTCTGACTGCAGGCTTACTTGTGGTACCTAGAGTTTCCAAAAGCAGAACGGGAGGAAGATCTTTCACTTATCAGGGTCCTCTCTTGTGGAACCAACTTCCAGTTTCTGTCCGTGAGGCTGACACATTGTCCAGTTTAAAAACTGGTCTACTTTCATTTTTGATAAATCCTATAGTTAGGGTTGGCTTGTTAAGCTGCCATAGGATTAGACTACTGGAGGACAAATTGACCTCATTTCTTTAAATGATTTGCTAAAATTGAATAGTTTTCATTTGATACTATTTCTATATTAACATGTGATTCTTGACCTGCCATTGTGTATCTGTTCCTACCAAACCCAGCCGGTCGAAGCAGATGGCCGCTTGTCCTGAGCCTGGTTCTGCTAAAGGTTTCTTCCTCATGAGGGAGCTTTTCCTTTCCACTGTCGCCTTCATGCTTGCTCAAGATGAGAGTCTGTGATGGAGTTAAACTCAAAGCAGTCTGCTCCTCAAATAATGTTAAATTATTTTTATATATACGCATGTTTCTGTTCAGTAGCCTGAGATTACTTCTGCTGTGACTTGGAACTATATAAATAAAATGAATTGAAGTGAATTGACCGTACACTTGCCAAGAACCCAAACCCCCTCCTTCCTGTTCACCAGTCACAACAACTCCTCATCCTCCTCAGTTGAAGATGCAGAGTATGTCCTCCTACCAGCTGCCGCTCCATGTCTTCGTCCCGCGGGGAGCTGATGAAGATGGTGTTCTCCATGAGGCCGACGAAGCACCAGAAAGTGTCGCTTTCGTCCTGGATCTCTGTGAGCAGCGGGGCGACCAGGTCGGACATGCCCTGGCAGTAACCCATGTCGGGATTAAACACTGCGTAGTTGAGCAGAATTCGCCTGAGGGCAGAACAAACACAGACGTCTTAGTGCTGCTGGAACATCTTGACAACACTTCTGCTTTAAGTGGGCTAAGCAGAATCCTAAACGTTTCACTGTGAACATCTTTAATAAAAATCTCTTAGAAAACCCTGAGAAAGTGCCACCCAAACTCTGTATGTGCCAACTTGTGTCTCGGCGATTGTGTTAATACCCCCCAAAAATGCAACAATCTCTCTTTTAGCAGTTGCTATGACAACTTTGCTGGTAACCAGGGAGCTAATTAACAATTTCTTTCTTTTTGAGACGTGCACTACTTTGAAGGAACTTCCCTGGCAGCCTTCATGCATTAATAAGTACCGTATAAACACAAGCAAAACCCAGAGGACAGTATATTGTTGTGCTGCTGCATTAGGGTTAAAATTTGATGATTTTTACGAGCGTGCAACACAAAGATGCCAGCTCAAACAGCACAATTAAAACTGTATGAGGCAGATTAAAGTGTGTGTGATTCATCAGGAACAGATGTGAGAGATGTACGGGAAGTCAGAGATCTGAACGTGCACATGTGCAGCTCTAATATTGTCCCACTTATAAGCTGGAACTCCAAGACAAATACCAGGAGCTCCGACGAGTCGCTGAAGTAATGCGCTATTTAAATCCTCCTGCCCCTCGTTTAGAAAGCCATTAACTCTGAGTATGCATCAAAAAGTCGTCAGAAGGCTTAGGCAGAGTCAATAAAGCATGAAACCCATTTGAGGCTCCCCCAGAATCTAAAATTAATACTGCAGGTACGGTGTGTCGAGCAGGAAGGAGGAGGTTAAAGAGCGACCAAAAAAAAAAGAAAAGACAATGCATCTGAAATCTGACCTCATGATCTCCACATTTGGGTTATTCTCTCCTCTAAAGAACTGGTTGCTGCGGTCCGTTCTGACCACGTCTTTGTCCACCGTGAACTGGACCTTCCTCCAGAACTCGCTGTGCTCCTCGGGGCTCATGGACAATCTGACACAAAAACCAAACAGAACCCGAGCTGATCAAAACTGTGGAGCAACAGGAGGCGAGTTTACGGTTGTTTTTCTGCACAGTAATGATCCCAAACACATAAAGTAATGGAAAGGCTCCTCTGGTGTAAAGCTGCAAATGTGGGGGGTGGGCAAGTGGACCAAAGTGCTCCTCTGGGACTAAAACCACAACCGTAAAGCCCCCCCATTTGTCCCTCTACATGTTTTTGAGTACATTAACAATGTTCTCTGTGCGCGGTGCTGATGTACTCAAGTCCTAACAAGCAGAGGGGATTTAATTAACATTGTTTGTTTTCTACGAGGCCCCAGAAGGAATAACGCACGCACACCTGATGCAACGCCACGAAACTGTTTAGTTTCAGCGCCGGGTGTTTGTATCGCTGGACCCTCCCCAGCCACCGTCGAGCGGTTCTCCTCCTCTGGAGGACGCTGCTCAGGAGTTTGGAACGTGTTTTTATCACTTTATGTTTGAATGGTTCTGGGGGGTTAGCAACCGTCACAGCTGAAAAGCACAGCTCGACTGCCCGTCTCCGATCGGGGCTGAAGATTTAATAATATAAACAGCACATAGAAAACAGATACATTTATTATATTTTATGAAAATATCTGAATGTTTCAGAGCCAGGTCGTTCACAGTGACAAAACCCAGCTTTTAAACATTTGTCTGAATGTTCATGAAGCATTCACGCTCTTGTGATTCATTTTTCCTCCGTATATTTTTCAGCATCTTTCTTGTTCCACAATTTTTGTGCCATTTCAGCAAATCATATCAAAACGTTCAGCTCATTCAGGACAATCCTGCTATGACTTTTGGTATTGGTGCAACTTTAGCTTTTTGAAATATTTAGCCTTCTCTGACATTTTTTTCCCTCCTAGAAACTGAATTGAGCTCATTTTACAACCTTCACATCTTTAGATCTGTTTACAACCTTTTACTGCTTCTTTCACATTTTGTTCTGCTTCAGCTTCTTTCAGCTTCCTTGTGCAAACTTAAACTGTTTTCAGCTACTTTCAGCTAATTTAAGCTGTTTTTTCAGCTGTTTTGTGTTCCTTTCAGATTCTTTCTGCCAACTACAACTTTTTTGTGCTTCTTCTAACTTCTTTCTGCCCATTTCAACTTATGCTCCTTTCAGCTTATTTCTGTAAGTTTCAGCTTTTTCAGCTGCTGTTTAGCTGTTTTTATGCTAATTTTAGCTTTTTCAGCTAATTGCACTTTAGTTGTATTCATTTAAACTTTTTTCAGCCTAATTCTGCAAAAATGTGCTCTCTCCACTTCATTTTGGTAATTATAGCTTCTTTCTGCTTTTTAGCTAATTTTCAGATGTTTTATGCTAATTTCAGCTTTTTTCAGGTAATTTCCACCTTTTGGTGCTCATTTTTGCTTCTTTAAGCCTAATTGGGTAAACGTGTTTTTTCTGCTTTCTGATTATAATTTAAGCTTGTTTTATATATTCAGCTAGCTTTTTAGCATATTACTAGCTAATTTTAGCTGTTTTCAGATAAATTCAAGTTTTTCATGGTAATTTTTGCTACTTTCAGCCTAATTAAATTACTTCTGCTGATTTCAACTCATTATGCCCCTTTCAGCTTTTTTCTGCTAGTTTCAGTTATTTCAGCTAATATTTAGCTTTTTTATGCTAATATGAGCTTTTCCAGCTAATTCCACATTTTTTTTGCCCTCATTTCAACTTTCATGTTATTTCTGCTTTCTCCTGCTGATTTACGCTTGTTCTACATTTTCAGCTACGTTTCAGCATGTTTTTATAGCTATTTTCAGCTACGTTTCAGCATGTTTTTATAGCTATTTTCAGCTACGTTTCAGCATGTTTTTATAGCTATTTTCAGCTGTTTTCCAGCAAGTTATTCAGCATTAAGCATTCACACTGTATTTTCGCAGGAAATTCAATTTCTCTAGTTTAATCTGAGTTTAAAGGATCTAGATTAATTTGAGGTCTTCTGGACATACGGATGAACGTGCACATAAAGAATAGCAGGAACTGGATTCACTTTTTAACAAACTGAATATATTTCAGCAGAACTGGCAATTTATTCAAAGGCCAAGTTCAGTTCCAGAACAGCTTGTTGAATGAAAAATAAAGAATGACAACATGTTCCTCACATCATCTGTTGGTTATTTTTGCAGGTGTGGAAAGTTGAATGTATGAGACAAAAATCATTTGCTGTCCACAAAGAAAATGAGCTCAACTCCAGCTATAATTATAAAAAAGTTGGACGTTTAGGGAATATTTAACTTAGGACAAATTAATTAAAGACAAACTTGGCAACAATGATTCGTTTCAACCTTCCAAAACCTGTGAAGGATGTGCCGTTCTGAGGCTGTTTCTGCTTCAAAACTGCAGTTTTGTATTCAACTCAACAAGTGTTTGAGAACAATTTCATTTTCAGCTTGATTACAGCAAATTCACAAAGAGCAAATGCTCATAAAGCTGTTGGCAAAATACAAGTTTATACTTCTTATTTGTATAACTATGTCAAAATAAGAATATCAATCAGTGAACAATCTGCCAGCATATGTAATGAAAACTATTTTAAATATGCGTCTTTCAAAAGAAAGAACAGGCAAATATTCAGCTGTAGCTTAAAGTTAAAGTGTTGGCAGACCATTAAAACAAAAACTAATTAAAGTGAAATCTGAACTTTGAAGAACTGAGGCTGCAGCTTAGCTCTGAACATTTGTCAAGATGTATTTATAAGAAAAGGAACTGATGGGCAGAGCAGAAACTTCCTTTTCAACAAGTAAAACTAACCTAAAATAGACTTCTTTAGCATTTCAGCAAAAATACACAGACTTTGTCTTCCAGCCGACTACAAGACAGATTTTATCTTAATGAATCTTGTAAATTCACACAACTAAAACAGTTCTTATGCATTTGTTGTCTAGCTTTTTACAATAAACTTGAAAGCTTTATTAAGGAATATAAAATGTAACTAAGTCATTATATTTATGTCTTTCACTGCCTCTTTATTCATTATAATTATACTGAACACAACAATTTAGCTCCACCTTATATTACAGCTCTTACTGTTCCATATTTTCCTAACAGAGTAATTCGCTCTCTGACTGCAGGTTTACTTGTTGTTCCTAGAGTTTCCAGAAGCAGAATGGGAGGAAGATCTTTCAGTTAACAGGCTCCTCTCTTGTGGAACCAACTTCCAGTTTCTGTCCGTGAGGCTGACACATTGTCCAGTTTTACAACTGGTCTATTTTCCTTTTTGATAAATCCTATAGTTAGGGTCGGCTTGGGTTTCCTGAACTATCCCTTAGTTATGCTGCTTTAGGCTTAGACTGCTGGAGGACAAACTGACCACATCTTTTCACTAAACTACTTTCTTTACTTACTCTGCTCAACCTGTTTTGTATTTGTAATTATCTTTTTCTATCCTTGACATGTGTTTTTGTCTTTCTTCCAATAAGGGGTACATGTGCACCTATATCTGGACCTAACATTCTGTGTTCGTCTGTCTCTCCTTCCTGTCCCTCTCAACCCAGCCGGTCAAAGCAGATGGCTGCTTGTCCTGAGCCTGGTTCTGCTGGAGGTTTCTTCCTTTTAAAACTGAGTTTTTCCTTTCCACTGTTGCCACTGTGCTTGCTCAGGATGGGAGAGTGGGATATTCAACGTGTCTGCTGGCTTCCTATAGAGAACTTTACTAATTGGCTTTTCTATGAACGTGAATGTTTCTGTTCAGTGTCTGGAGACAACTTTGTTGTGATATGGCGCTATATAAATAAACTGAATTAAACACAGCAAGTAGTTTCTGTGCAATCAGAAACCATTTTTAATAACAACAGCCCCTCCGGTTTAGTTATCCCTGCTAAGTGAAGGACACGGGGGTGTTAGTGGACGTGGAACCGAGCCACAGGGTTCCATCCTTGCTCCTAATGATCAACTGGTGGCCCTGAAGGCTGCTCCAGCTGAAGCGTCAGAACAAGGACTAATTACCTGCGTTTGTTAAGACCTTCTGCTGTACTCAGTAGTCCATCCAGATGAAACCTGTCCAATTATCACCTTCATTACAGTCAGAGCGACAGAACGTGTGGAGCTATGTGCAGCATTAACCTTTCCGTGGCAGGATGGAGATATTAAAAACTCCTGGGTCTGTTCGGATGTGTGTTTGTCCGTGCATACCAAAGCTGTGCTTTCCACCCCCCCCATCCTGCTGATGAGTCTGATCTGATAAGCGCTGACATGTTTTTTTCTCCAGAGACCTTTTATATCACACCCGGCACCTCCCCTTAACACTTCTCTGATTGTGTGTATTGATTGCTCAGCGCCTGCGATGAGAAGCCACAACAGACTCACATATGGTTTAATGTTTGACTGAGTGAGCGTTTGACAGCTGCTGCTGCGGCCGCGTGACGGATTATCTGCCGTCTGACTGAGCCGAGCAGCACCGCTGCGTCTCAGACTGTTTAATCAAAGTGATTTTTACTCACTCATACTACTCTTTAGCGGCACAGATGTTCTCAACAACAGCCGAGTCATATTCTGATCACATTGGGGTGTTTTAGAAGCCCACCTCCTCTGCTGGATGTCGTGATAGTGAGCGCGCTTCTGCAGCCTCCAGGCCTCCCTCTCCTCAGAGGTGGAGTCGTAGCTGTAGTAGTGCAGCAGGAAGGGCCACACCTCGCCACGGATGGATGGGTCGATACCGCCGAAAAAGATGGCCTGGTGAGGAACGGGCGGGGGGGACAAATACTTTGAGCACAAAGGGAGCGTTCAGAGGGCAAACAAGGGCCACAGCTGATAACTGCGAGAAGAGAAGTGTTTGCAAACACGACGTGCAGACAGCGGTGAAGGTGACGCAGCTCCTCTGAATGACAGAGGGCGCTTTATTTCCAGCTTGGCTCGACGCTGCACAGGAAAACAAAAGAGTGTTTATTCAGCGAGTCAAGCTTTGCAGTTTCACACGTTTCTCTCAAGTCATCTAAAGCCAGGTCCAGAGCGTCTAACGTTCAGTTTCAATCAGCACGTCTCTCTGTAAATATTGAAATGGTTACTCCAGGCCAGCGCAGCGCTCTGAGTCACCTCAGCTGTCTGGAATTGACTCAGTTTAGTGTTTACCGTCCTTCTGTAATGAGTCAGCGTCAGTTTGGCTGTGAGCAAGATGTTTTCTTGGTAAAGGCCAAGTTGCAGAAACAGAAGCACGGTTTTTGCAGGACTTGTCGAATGAACACTTTTTGTTTTCTTGTGCAGCGTTGAGCGACTCTTGTCGTGAAAATAGTGCATCCTCTAGCGTGATGACTAAAGGTGCGATTTGACTCATGCACTCTCGTACCCGTCCCTCCAAGAGTGTAGACTCATCCACATGTGCACAGCCTCACCTTGCGCAGCTTGTACTCCTCCTCCACCTGTCCGCTGTGGTTGAGGTGACGCAGCCAGGTGGTGACGTCCAGCCGTCGGTACAGCCTCTCCTCCGGGTGGGTCTCGGCTGATGGCAAGGTCGGCCTCTGGATGGAAAACTGCATGCAAGACTTTTCATCTGACACCTGACAGGAAATTACAAACGGGAAGAAAAAAATAAAATTGTTGGAACAAATCTTTTAATGAAACTGAAAAAAAAAAAAGAAAGACAAAGCCCCGCCCACCTACCTGATCTTTAATTTGAGTTTCCCTGCAGCACTTCCACTGTTGGAAGACCTCGGCCAGCTTGTCCAGGCCGGCGTGATGAAAGTGGAGGATCTTATATTGGCTCTCTCTGCTGGCGATCACAAGCTGGCCACTAGTGCATGCCTCATCACTGCAACAAAACAATGAATGATGACCAAAACATCACTCCTGACAAACACAACAACGTGCCACAAAAGCAGGGCAAAGGCAGCCCTCATGACCTCCTCGTGACCTTTAACTCCACTTTTCGCTGACCTGAAGAAGAGTCTCAACGACCTCATGTGACCCAGGTCCACCCGGAAAACGCCGCACAACTGCTCCAGAGCAAGTAGCTTCTGTTGCTCCTCCCACCGCGTGGCTTGTGATTGGCTGCTGCTCTCAGAGTGGGCGTGGCTGTCCAGACTGGATGCTGAGCTAACAGAGTGGTTCATGGACTCCTCGCATAACTCCCTGCTAAAAAAAATGTCAAGAATTTATTTGAATTTTAGATTTTAGTTTTTGTTAAAGGGACAGTTCAACATATTCTATAAGGTGAAAGCAGTTCAACGTCAAGAACTTTGTAAAAATTCATTCTTCACAGTCTTTAAAGTGGAGAATTAAATATAAAAATAAGCAGCAGATAATCGTTCAAATAAATCCTCATCTCAGGAATGAGCTGGTGTTTGTGTGTCTGTAAGATCCCGCCAGGGGGATGAGGATATGAGGAATGCACGAAGGCTACTGAACACACAAACACACACACACACACACACACACACACACACACACATGCACACACAAATCTGTACACACACAAATCACACTGTCTGCCATCCAATTTCCCTTGTCATTCCCCCATGGCAAGCATACTGTTCCCGGCACACTGAAACCTGAGCTGAGGGTTCTTCTGCTGCAGAACTAGAACACAAACACACACACACACACACACACACACACACTATACATAAAAATACAGAGAAGCATGCAGAAAAACACAGAAAACAAACAGACATGCAAACAAAATTGTGCAAGCTCAACAAAAACACTGTGGTTTCTTCATTCTAAGAATCTCACTTGCAGGCATGCTCCACATGTTTGTCTCACATGCACACGCACGTGCACAGAGATTGGACCATAGCTAATGACCATATTGCACTCTCAAACACGTCTCGAGACATGCTAACGTGGAGGAAGAGAAATGGGTTAAACTCCCTTGACATCTGAGAAGTAGAAAAGTAAATGACCCTTTGCTTCTTTACGGTGAAACACACTTGTGAGCAATTTAAAACTGTAAACTATGTGGGGATTTAATAATAAATAAACAAATAAATCCGTAATCTTGAATCAGCAACATAAAAAAACAAATTTAATTCATAAAAACACGAATTTGTCACATTTTTAGCGTTCATTTTTGCTCCTTTCAGTTTTCTGTGTTTAAAGTTGCAACAATCACAGAAGATTTTTACTGCGATGAAAGGCGGGCCTGGTTTGATATTTTCCACTCTGAATCAGTCACGTCTGGCTAATCATTTCCCCGTTAGCAGATGGGAAAATAACAAGGCTGATCAATCCGGGCTGCACAGCTTCCTTATGTTATCTGGTGATTTACTGCGCTCTGTCTCATGTATCACGCCACAAACCAGATTGCTGAGAATGGGTTGGGGAAAGGAAGAGAGGCGAGGAGAGTTCTTCTGGTAAGACGGTTAAGCGGTATGAAATATGGAGGGAGTCTTGTCTTCATAGCCCCAGTGACTGTCAAGTTAGGAGTGTTTACAAAGGCCTCAAGCCCACTTACTTCCCCCTTTCCTTGCTTGAAGCACTTAAAAGGGCAGAAAAGCACTTGGTTTTTGACATTACAGCAGGGATCACTTACAGAGTAACATTCCAACATGAGATCGATACAGTTATGAACATCTGTCAGTATTAACAAGCTGATTTGATTCATTTACCATCCCACACGACATCAACTGTAAAACCGTAAACAAGCTGTTTTGATGGAGTCGAGCTGCTGTAACCGGCACGTCCCACCAGGCCAGGATGAGATCAACCTGCCCTGAGGCCCTTCATAACACGTCCCTCTAAATACACGAGGCTTTACCCCAGAGGAACGAGCTGCCAGGTCACCCTGAGAACCGGGACAGAATGCCACAGGCCTCCTGGGACTTCCAGGTCCTTCAGCTAATCCCTAAAAGCAGTCGAGGCAGAGCTGAAAACAAAAAGGAGGGTGATGTGGGCACTGCAGGCGAATGCTGGAAAGTGGTCAGAAAAATGTCGAGTTGGGAAAATTTGACTAATGATATTTTTTAACAATAGAAGATAAGAAAATTACAGAGAAGTTAAACTACATTTATAAATTTAACACCGTTTTTCTCACAGGCTCATGTTCATGCTGCTGTTGTTTGGCGCATTGTTTTGTACTATTGGTGCTTAGTGTATTATTAGTTTTGTGTATTCTTAGTTTAGTGTATTATTAGTTTTGTGTATTCTTAGTATAGTGTATTCTTAGTTTAGTGTATTATTAATTTAGTGTATTGTTAGT